GCTGGGCCCATTTTGAATTATGACTACATGATTTTAAATTACACTTTCTAATTCCTCGCCGCCCACCCCCCAAGCGCTGGCTGCTGCTTCATTTTCCAATTATGTACTTTTATTTCAGAATGATGAAGAGTGCTGCTTAGTGGATCATGTCCTGTCTGCCACAAATAGCTGCTCACTTATTCCTTTAATTTTAGATACGAATGCAGTCGGTTCACCCGGCTGGTCTTCAGATTCTGAATATTCTCCATTCCCACAACACCAAACGAGGCCCAAGACGCCAAGAAACCCACAAAGCTCCGGCTGGGAAATATGTTTGTAAACCAGCGCTCCGCTCCATAAATTATTATAATTCTTGGTGCTTTCTCTATCCATCTAGCAGATCAGCAATCACATAAATAATAGTGAGTGGAATGATTTTTCTTCTGCAAAGTGCTATGTCCTAGTTTTCAAAATAAAGCATTTGGAAATTCACGTATCTGCGGAGTTGAAATGGGAAGCTGCTCAGATCCGTTTCAAACATACACACAGACATACTCACACACAAAAGGAAACGAGAGGTAAATGTGTAAAAATCAGCATTTTGAATCTCCTTTCCACATACACGTCAAGTCACACTCAACAGTCATGGGGGTTTGGGACCCACCTGGCCGGGGAAGTGGGGGAAAGCAAGAGGGTCTTGGCTGCTCAGCATTCAAATACAATTTGCAAAGAAAGTGAATGTGGATTTACAGTTCTCATGGAAATCTATTAAACAGATGTCACTGAAGCATAATCAAATCGGCACTATGGTAATTCTACACTTAAGTCTGAGATCGAGGTTTTGCCATTTTTATGATCAGAGTATTTTTTGTGATCATGCGGGAATTTGCAACTGAGGATTAAACCTCCAAAGTATGATCAATTAACTAATGTGCTGCCTGAATGACAAAAAGAAAGCCATACACACACACACACACACAAACAGCAAAACTCAATTCTCCACCCTGCCCCCCCCCCCCCCCCCCCCCGGCTTTGAGCAGGGAGCCTAGGGTTGGGGAGGGAACATTTGCCTTTTCCACAAACAAACGAACACTGCAACGCCAAATGCATTTCGTTGTGAAGGGGGAAAGACAGGGCACAAGGTACTCACACTTCTCAGGTAACCGGAGCAATGTATTTTGCAGCCTTGCGGGCTGTGGCGCTATCAGAAAATGCAAAGGAAGGAAATGAAGGGGAAATGACGGGAATGTTAGAAATTAGAAATAGGCATCATTTGCTCCTTAAAGTGATGAAATTAGCATGGGCCATGTCAAAAGCCTTTTGATGTGCACCAATGCTGAGTCTCAAATCCTTCTCGGATGGAAATCTGAAGGTGTTCAGGAGAAGCAAACTCTCAGGTAGGGATTTGGGTGGTGGAGGGAGGGACCCTGGCTCTGATGCTCTCATTGAGTATCACCTTCAACCAGAAGGGACACTTCCTTTTCCCATTGTAGCTGCTTCTATGTATCATGTGTGACCAGGTGGTGACATCAAGGTGCCCAAGTTCACGTCCAAGCAAGCCCCCAAAGGGTAATTGACGGAAAGGCGTGACAGGACCGAAGGATACCTCAAGTCCGTATCTGAGTTCAAAACTGAAACGTATCATCTCAATTTGTTAAGATTTTTTTTTTCATGAGGTTGGGCTGTCCTCCTCTGCCATAGCTGTTTTAAATGGAAATAAGACAGAACTAAATTTTGTCTCATTAGGACCCAAAAAAGTCAAAATAAAGTAAAACATTTGTTTTGGCAGCAGAATGGCCAGATCACCAGGGAGAGCCACAGTGAATCAAATTAACCAAAGAACTATTTATACCTTCCCTCCAACACCACCCCCAAAAAAGGGATCTCTCTTTTTCCCTTGGGGTTGCTTTTGCTTTAACATGTTCTTCACTTCTTCGGGCTCAAGGCAAAGAATTCCAGTGGCAGTCTGGAGAGGAGGCTAGCTGGTGGTCTCATTCCATGGAGACATCCACACCCCAGGACCCACCGCTGCAGGGATCTGCTCTCAGAGAGACCCAAGCATAGTCTAAACGGCTCTTACAGCGTGAAACATGCCCTTCACCCCTCTCTTCCCTGCCCCTCAAGTGTTTGGCATGTCTGATCCCAGAGGGCGTGAGACGTTTGGCCAGGAGGGAGACCCCACAAGCAGCCTGCCTCATCCAGGATGCCATTAACTGTGATGTGTGGGCTCCGAGCTAGCCTGAGAACCCAGTTCCTGGCTCCTGCACCTGGGGAGCTCCTTTCCCCAGGGTCTCTGGATCCAGAGGTACAGGCAGACAAAGGTACCAATTGCCGAACAGAGAGATCTCAGAGAGAAGAAGAATGCAGGGGGCGGGGGGGGGGGGGATGCTTGAAAAGACCCTTTTTCTGTTCGCGGCGAGGGAGGGGCGATGGGAGCGACATGTCACATTGTCACATTAAAGATTTTGACAGACAATTCAGGGATAACGCAGAAATTCCACCCCTAACTGCAGCTCGGCCGCAACTTGAAAGGCATTAACTAACCTCCACTAATTGCATGTTTTTCTGTGCATAATATTTACTTGTTAAAAAGTCTTTGCCTGGCCGATCATTTTCCTCTGCCCTGCTATTCATGATCAGTTTGCAGGCCTGAAACTGGAAAAACAAAATCATGTCGATAGATTAAAAGATGATGGCACTTTGGGGGGGGGGGGTAGTTCTTTTTTCCACTAGTCTGGGCCTGGAATGCTGATTTTTCTCCTTGAGTGCCACCCTTTAGTGAAATCCTGCTACCATCCTTAATTCCTTAGCTGAGTGCAAAAAGATGTGTCCTGTGTTAGGTGCGCACAAGAGGGGCTGTCACTGCCAGGGAAATGCAGCAAGTTCAAGGAAAACAAATGAACTTGAATTGCTTCCATCGGATGAAGATTTCGTAGTCTCAAGGGTGGTCCGGGAAAATTTTTAAAAGCAGGCTTTGCTTGAAAGGTTATTCTCTATCTTGGTCTACGCATTCCTGACACAGGTGGAGACACACTAGTAGAAAGACGCCAAAGCCTGGGTCTTTCACCCAAACTTAGACGTGTTCTGTCCACAAACACAGTCCACGGGGCCTCAGCTGGTGTGCCCGAGAGTGACTCTACGTGCACGCACAGCAGTACGTCGGAGATCCAGAACCCCGCATGTGGATGACGCTCTGAGCCTACCTGCATCAGCATTAAAGGGATTTACTTCAATCCAGGTCCTGCAAAATGTCTGGGGTGGAGAAATAAATAGAGAGGCAGCCCCACGCCGAACCACTTCCGAATACATGATGAAACCTCTGCGACTGGATTATCGCCTTTCGACTAGCCATCAGCCAATTAATGTACCTCCACCGAGTGAGTACTCAAACAGATGTAACCATTTCGCAGAAACCCATCTTGAGAAAAAAAGATTTTACAAGTGTTGTGGGGCTGCCACTTGGAAAGCCAATTTGCAGGGAGCCGAGCCTCGTGAAGCACAGTTTATTATGCATGGCTCCCGCACCACGGTCCCCTGTACACCGTGCCCAGCTCCAGAATGCCTCCCAATCACCACCGGCTGGCTTGCAAGCCCCGGTGTGCTCTCCACCGCCAGAAGCCTGCTTCAGCCCAGCCAAATCTGCCACCCCCTCCCCAAATGGTCTTCCAGTGCCTTGGCTCCCGTGGACCAAGCCCGACTTCCAACTTGGCTATGGCAGTCGGCTGGTGGCCTCAACGACGTCCCCCAGAGCATTAGCCAATGTGACTAATTATTCATGAAGTTGGTGTATTTATTTATTTATTTATTTATTTATTTATTTATTTATTTATTTATTTTTGCAAAGACCAGCCAGGGTGCTGAGGCTCCCCCTGTGGCTGGTCCCCACTAACAAGTCTCCCCCCACCATGCAAGTCCTCTCCAACCGGCTCAAACATCCACCAGCCCGCCCACTTTTGTTCCCCAGTTTAATTTCATAATTGTTTGGCACTTAACAAGCTCTCCTCTGGGCGGGTCAACAGGGACTTTGGAGATGGGAAGGAAAGGCAACCAAGCTACAGGAGGGGAACTGGGAGAGGTCTGACCCAGCGTGGGGGGAAACGCATCTCCCGGGGGTCAGTGGGACAGACTTGGGGGCCAGGTCCCGCGTGGGAGCCTCTGGCCATCTGGCCTGAGTGGAGAGAGGATGTAAGGGAGTGGGAGATGGTGGGTCTAGGGCCCCCCAGCCGTGGTCCGCCACAGACTCCCGGACACATCAGCTCTCAGACTGACCCTCCTCTGTCTCCACCTGGACCAGGGGAGGCTGTGAGTGAATTCACTGTCCTATAACAAGTCCCAGAATAAACACACAAGAGACAGAACTGCTCCTTAGCATGGAAATATTACCTGTGAGGGCTGGGACCTGCCTGGTTAGCCGCTGAATCCTCTGGACCAGGCACAGAGCAGAGAGTAACAAATGTGCGTGCAACGAGTGAGCGGAGGGATGGATGCCTGCACGCGTGGACGCAGGGACGCGTGGATGCAGGCGTGGATGAAGTTTCCAGCAACGCCCAGCCAAAGTGGCCGCTAGACCAGCATTAGTGAGTGACCCCCTCCGTCGCCCCCAAGTGCCGGCAGGGGCTCCGCGGCGCACAGTAGGCTCTCAGCGACCGGGGGCGGCTATTGTTAGGACCGTCATCATCACTTGCGCCCCGCCGGTCCGCTCCTTCCTCCCGCAACTCCGCCGGCAGCCAGCAGAGACCCGCGAGCCGGGGAAAAGTTTCGCCGCCCCTCGCCCCGGTCCGAGCCCAGCGCCCCGGCCGCGGCCCCTCCCGGCTCCCCGGCTCGGCCGGCCGGCGGCGGGGGGACACGGCCGGGCGCCCGCACCCGCCACGGGCGGCCAAAGTAACTTTGCGGGCGCCCCTGCGCCGCGCCGCGGGCGTCACCCGGCGCCCGAGAGGGTCCCGGCCGCGCCCGCCCCCGCCCCCGCGCCCCCGCCCCCGCCCCCGCCCCGGCCCCGGCCCCGGCCCCGGCCCCCGCCCTACCTGGCCCCGGGCTCCTCTTCGGCGGCCGCGGCGGCCGCGAGCAGCAGCGCGCACGGAGGGAGGCAGGGGCCCGGCTCCGGGGAGGGAGGCGCGCAGGGGCGGGGGCTCCTCCGGCGGCGGCCGCCGCGCCGCGCGTCCGAGGCAGCAAGTGGGAGCCAGACTCCTCCTTCGGGGGGCGGGGGGCTCCCCGCCGCCCCCTCCCTCGCCCGCCGCGCCGCTCCGAGCCGCCCCGGCGCCCCTCCCGCCGCCGCCCTGCCCCCCCGCTCGCTCCCACCTCCCCCGCCCCGCGCGCCCGCCCGCCGGGGCCCCCGCCGCGCCCGCCAGGCCTCGGCCCTCGGCCCCCGCCCGGGCCCGGGCCCCGCATCCCGCCGCCGCGGGCACCGGGGGGCAGCGGGGGGCGGCGGGGGGGCAGCGGGGCGGGCGGCGGGGCGGGGGAGCGGGCCCGCGCTGCGGAGGAGAGAGCCCGCGGCCGCCCCGCCGCGCCCCGCGCCCCCTCCGGCCCGCCCCCCGGCCCCGGCCCCGGCCCGGCCCCGGCCCGGCTCCGGCCCCGGCCCCGGCCCCGGCCCGGCCGCGCGCGGGGTGGGCGGGGAGCGGGGCGGGGGCGCTCTCACCTCCGGATCCGCGGCCGCCGCGCCGGGCTCAGCTGCTGGGGCGTGCGCGGCTCCTTCCGGGGCGCCGCGGCCCCCGCCTCGGCCCGGACCCCCTCCCGAGGCCGCGGGGGCAGCCGGCCCCGGACCCCCACCCCCCATCCTCCCCCCGGCTCGCAGGCTGCGGAGGCCCCGCTCCGCCGCCTGCGCCCCCATCTCTTGCTCCCCGGGGTCCCAGGTCCCCAGTCCCAGGGTACAGAGGGTGGCCGGCGGAGGCTCGACCCGGAGCGGGGCAGGTAAGCGGGTCAAGGCCACGGAGCACCTAGCCCCCGGCTCCAAGGTCCTGCCTTGTCGAGGAGAGGGGAGAGCGACACCCCCCCCCCCCGCAGGCGGTGGTCCCACCCTGGGGAGTTTGAGAGGCCCCTCGTGACCTCCAGGCCCTGCCACGGGTGGAGGGCCACGTCCACAGGGCCTGTAGCCAGGGCACGGCTCAGGCCTGGACCTCCCAGACAGAGAGGGAGGTGAGAAGGGGGGTGTGGCCCCTCAGAGGCCCATCTAAGGCACCCCAACAATGTTTATGGGTCCCCTCCCCCAACACACTCACATCACAAGGTGGCTCCCACTCCTGCATTCTTCGAGGCTTCAGACTCAATATGAGGACACCCTGTGTGGGCGCCTCGGGCCTGGCCTGCCCTTGGGGACAGCCCAGTCCGGGAGGGAGGCAGACAGGGACCCAGGAGAATCCCCTGCACCAGTGCCGGAGCAGGAGCAGGAGCAGGAGCAGGGACCGCTACCTGGTGTGGCTTCTTGGAGGTGGACACACCCCAGCTGAAAAAGTGTATGCCAAGGAGAGAAGGTATGGAAAAGGCATTCCAGGCAGAGGGAACAGTGCATGCAAAGGCCTTGGCATGTTTGGAATGGCAGCTTCAATGGGACTGGAGAGAGGAAGTGGGGGGAGAGGGGAAGGGGGTGGGGGAGGGGAGGAACAGGAGCCCCATCAGGAAGAGCCTTGGATGCCTGCCTAAGGGGGTGGACTTTATCAGGGACAGTGGGGAGCCACAGCAGGTTTTGAGCAGGGGCATGCCTCGGTCAGGTTTCTCGTTTGCCCGGGCAGAGGAGCAGGAAGGGCCACTCTGGGAGATGAAGGAAGCCCTGCTGGGGCCCTGAGGCCAGCAAGGGGGACAGAGAATGGCTGAGGGGACCGCAGGTGGGCATCTGCCTCCTCTTCCTTGTCTGTGGACCTGAATTCTCCACCGCGGCCTGGGGCCATCCTGGGGGTAGGGGGCAGAGGCCAGGCTAGAAGAACAATCTCAGCCGGGCATGCAGGCAGGGCAGCTGGAACACCCGGCCGGCAGCCCCTAGACTTCTCCTCAGGAGCCGGGAGCCGCCACTCGGTCTCCCCCCAGGGTCCATTCTGGAAAGCGGGCTCCCCAGTGCCCTCACGCCCCCAGGCAGGACCACCACCCCCCACGATCACTCGCTCTGTCTCTCGGGTCCACGCTGACCTTTGCAGATGCCCAGCTTCGGTGTGCCTGCCTAGTGAAGGTCAGGGCCCCAGGGCAGGCTCTCCCCAAATCAGGAAGAGAAGAGTGTGGGAGCAGTCAGATAAACACACAGGCCTGCTGCCGAGGGCAAGGCTTGCTCAGTGGTCCATGTCTGCTGTCAGCCCCACTGCTCAGGGGGCTGCAACATCCAGTGGACACCTGTGTCGTCCTGGGAACCTGGAGGTGGCCAGGGATACAGGGGGCACCCAGATACAGCCCCTGCTATCCAGCCATGGCCAGTGAAAAGCCAGAGGGGGAGATGTGCCTAGAGACCCGCCTGGAACCGAGTGTGGGCTGGGGGAGGGAGAGATGCCCACCCTGGGAGACGGAGCAGGGCTTCCCGGAAGAGGGCCTGAGGCTGAGCCTGGAAGAAGGACTGGGGAGATGGCCTGATGGGCATTCCCAACAGTAGAACTGCAGATGCCCAGGAGGAGATGTGCAGGGAGGGCAGGAGGGTGTAGACTCCCTAAGGATTCAAGCAGGCCCTAGGACAGGTCGGGAAGGGCCTTGCGGGCCACGCTCAGCAGGCCACGGGGCCCCTGAGCTCATTCAAACAAAATGCCCTGTGGTGTCTTGTGACCAGTGTGCCGGACTGGTACCTACCGAGCAAATGGAGGATGAGATCCACTGATCTCAAACCCCTCGTGGCACGCAGAGCCACCCAGCTCCTCCAGTGGGGCTGCCCAACCCCGTGGAGCATAAAGCACCCTCCTGAACCAGCAGGGAGCATCTTTCTCACCCTAGGGCTGCAGGCTTCACCAGCACATCATCTCCAAGGAAGGTGGTCCATCCACCTGCTGCCTGCCAAAGACAGAGCCACAGCTTGGTAGTGGCCTCAGGAGACTCTGGAGGACATGTGGTCTGGGACAGTGGAGAATTGTCAGTCTTGGTCCCTGTGGAGAGAGCAGAGAAATTCCTGTGACACTCATCCTCTAAAGCCAGCTTCCTCACCACTTCCAATCCCACCAGCCCTCCCTTCAGCTCCCAGACACCATCCATTACCTCCCTGGGACATGCACGTATTGAGCACTTAACTGAAGGCCTGACACTTCAGCACTTCTTTTGGAGCAAAGCAGGAGCTCCCCACCTAAAGGGCCTGCCATTACCTGCACCACCCAGTCAGTCTCAGGCACTGAGCTCTGAGCTTGACCCACACTTACCCTGGTCCAGGTTGCTTCTTGCTTCGCCCCGGGCCCCAGCACTGTATCCCACAGGGCCTCTGGTGCAGTAGGTGTCCAGTGAATGGGCTCTGAAAGAGGGATTGAGGCATACAGGATGGGCAGGGTAGACCCACTCCTAAAAGAGCAACCAACTGGCAAACACAGCAGACATTCTGCTTTTGGAAAAATTTAATAACACAGTGGCACTTGTTCATGGAGACTAATAGAAACACCACACAATCTCATACTGCTAAACCAGCCAGGGGATGGCTTGTTCATCTGGGAAGCATTTCCCAGGAGCCTACTATGTGTTGGGGAGAGAAGGAGAAGATCCCAGGCTATCTGCCCTCAGGGAGGCAGGAGGTTGACAGATGCTCATGACACCAGGGACAAACAAAGGGCAGCTGAAGACAGAGAGAAGGGCAGCAGGTGCAGCCCAGAGACATGTCGGAAGAAGGCTACGTGGGCACATCAGAGGAATAAGATTTCAGGAGGAGGATAAATAGGAGAGGGACAGCCCAGCAGAGGGATCACCCTGTACCAAGGCTCAGGAGTCTCAAGAGAGCATGGTAGGACAGCCACTGGCCAAGAAATTCACTTTCCAGGAAGGCGTCCTAAGGCAGTAACTGCAGTTGTTCAAAATCGTCCTAAATCAGAAACAACCTAAATGCCCAGCAAGAGGGGATTGGTTTTAAAAAGTACAGGATGCCTGGAGAATCACAAGCAACCAAATCATGCTGCTGAGATGCAATGTGGCAGGAAAATGAGGTCTATGCTCAGCACACATCCCATGAGCCAGTGAAGTAGCTCACACAAGAATGCTCCTGATTCTGTGTTTTAAAGAAAGAAAGAGAAAAAAAAAAAAAAGAACGTAGGCAGAATGTCCAGCAAAGTAACCGTGGGGATAAGATTATGGGTGATTTTTTTCCCTTTATTAATAGGACCCTTTGTAGCCTCCAACCTTTCTATGATCACCAGTATCATGGAGAGTGGAGAGTGTTCAAGGAGGGGTATGAGCAGAGTGGAGGGTGCGTGTAGGGCAGGGGCTGGGATGGGCTGGAGGCATGCATGAGGCCGGTGCCCTGGAGGACCTTTCATGCCTCAGTGACAAAGGAGCTTAGGTTTTCGGGCCCTCCTTAGGTACTCCGTGGTGCCTGGCATGCAGCCAATGTTCAGGGTATGATTTTTTGGCACATAGTCGCTGGACTCCCACAACATGCCAGCACTGTGTCAGGCCCCCGCAATCACCCTGGCAGGGGAGGCCAGAAGATCTCAGAGAGGGGACGCCAGTATGTGCTGGAGGGGTCGGGAGAAGCTCCCTAGGGTTGGAAGGATGAAGCCTGGCATTGCACCCCCCACCTATGCCCCATTATAACCTTCAAGGTCTCCGCCGGGCAGCCCGTGTCTGTCTGGATCCTGACGCAGCCCAGAGGCAGGTCAAGTGCAACGCAGCTGTCTGACACAGGCCTCACCCAGGCCCTTCATCTACACCCAGGGCCCAGGGTGGAAAGGCCATGCCCTGTCGGGGAGCCCAGGCCTGCCCGCCTCCTCTCAGACTCAGGTACAACCTGCAGTGACAGCCCCCAACTCCTGAACCAGGCCCTGATCGTTGGTTCAAAACCTACCTCTGCCACTTACAGCTCGTGACTCTGAAACTCGGCCTCGCAGTCTTTATTGTTATAAAGCTGATACAACAATCTCAACCCACGAGGGCGGTGCACGTGGAGTGCCTGGTACACAGCTGGCGCTCAGCTAGTGGTGCTTGCTAACGCTCTCACGGTTCCAGATACCAAGTCTGGGATCTGGATTCTAACCCAGTTCTGCCAACTTGCTTGGGA